AGCCGGCCGGGTTCGGCCAGCCCCGGAACCGGCCCTGTGCGCCGTGCGCCGTGCGCCGGCGGCGGCGGCGCGAGTTAATAAACAGTTAAGTTTGGAAGACTGGGCAGACACGTTGAGGGGGAGTTACCAAACCCGGCAGCAAAAACATCCCGGCGCATTCCTGGGGCGCCCGGGGCTGCCAGCATCTGATTAGAACCATATCTCCCTCGCGCCGGGAGTGGCCGCGCGGCTCCCAGGCTCCCGGCCCGCGGCTATTTAAGCGGAGCCCACCGAGTCGGCGGCCGCTGCAGCCGGGGAGGCTCCGGGGCGGCCGGGCGCGGGACCGTCATGCGCGCTTCGCCCAGGCGCTAGCTGGCTAGCCGGTGAGTCCGCGGTGCGCCCCTACCCCGGGCGGTGGCTCCACACTTGGGTGCGACCTCCTCGCCCCCCCTCCGGCTAACTTCTCCCGCCCCCCTCCTCTCCCCACCTCCACCTTGGGCGCAGAACCTGGGGGAGGTGTGTGAGGGGGGAACGGACGGGCGGAGGAGGAGGGCGGGGGTGCGGATCTTGGGAAGAAGAAGGGGTGGGCCTGATCGGGGCGATCGCTTTCCGAGGACCGCGTTTACCTAGGAGGTCTGGTTCCAGATGTGGCGTTAACAAGCGCCCGTGCGTGCGCGTGTGCGCGCGCGTGTGTAAGAGCTCGGCGGGCCGCCTCGGGAAGACGCCGGCGTGGCTGCGATCACCTTCTTAATTCCCGAAAGGTGTTTATTTTATTTTAATTAACTCGTGAATGGAGGGGGGGTGGGGACCTGGCTGGTGCCTGTGGTCCTGCGGGTTGACAGCATCTGGGACTAGAATGTGAACTTTGTCTTAGGCGGGCATTCCTGAGAAAAGAATCTGCCCGGGGGACTTCGGGAGCTTGTTCCAAATCCCTGAAGGTGTTCGATGGCGCTGGCCTGACTGCTGTAAACCGGCTGGGAAGGGCGGGATGGAGGTGGGGGGAGACAGAGGATTGTCCAGAATCGGGGGGCGGGGGGTGATGAATGGGTTAAATCCTTGGAGTCGCAGTCAAGCTAGCGGTTTCATGGGTTTTCATCGCATCGCTCTGTCTCTGTGACTTGTCTTTCCTTCTTGACTTCATCCTTAGCGTGGAATTCTAGTCCTTGGCCGGATTCGGCAGGGAACTCTTGGAATCCAAAGGGAAATCTAACTGGATTAAAAATACTTAAAGAATCTCGACGTTATCTCCACGCTAGCCACCCCCTGCCTTCCCCCTTTCACCCCCCCACTCTCTCTCTCTCTCTCTCTCTCTCTCTCTCTCTCTCT